CTGTAGCTTTCAAACCACTAACTACCTTGATTCTCTGAGGAATAACACTTTTTTTTTAAATAAAGCAACATCAGGAATTATGTGGTACATCCTTTCATCTTTTGAAGTAGAAACATATTTACCTACTAGATACCAGCTTAAGTCATGGAAATGCATTCTGGTATTTTCATTTGGCAGGGCCTGTATTACACTAACAAAACTGGTTTTCTTAGACAATTCTTTCAGCAGTTGCAGCGGTAGACACCAAGGTACACCTCTGTGTGCCTCAGGATTTGCTTTAAAAAAACCACGACCTGAGACTTAATACATGACTGTGCTACTGGGGAGGAAATTGACCATGTATTTCATTAAGGGATATTTGTAATGAAATGTAATTATGCTAGAACTCCAGCTTTGAAATTGGTACTAAAAAAGAAAGAAAGAAAGAGAGAAAGAAAGAAGAAAGAAAGAAAGAAAGAAAGAAAGAAAGAAGAAAGAAGGAAAGAAAGAAAGAAAGAAAGAAAGAAAGAAAGAAAGAAAGAAAGAAAGAAAGAAAGAAAGAAAGAAAATAGAAAGAAATTAGTACTATTCCTCTCTTCTTTGAGTTTCTGTTTGTGCTGGCTAGTTTTATGTCAACTTGACACAAGCTAGAATTATCAGAAAGGAGAGCACCTCAATTAAGAAAATGCCTCCATAAGATCCAGCTGTATGGCATTTTCTTAGTGTTTGATGCGGAGGGGTTCAGTACATTGTGGGTGATGCCACCCCTGGGCTCGTGGTCCTAGGTTCAATAAGAAAGCGGGGTGAGCAAGCCAGTAAGCAACACCCCTTTATGGTCTCTGCATCACCTCTTGCCTCCAGGTTTCTGCATTGTTCAAGTTTCTGTCCTGACTTCCTTCAATGATGGATTACAATAAGCCGAATAAACCCTTTTGTCACCAACTTGCTATTGGTTATGGTGTTTCATTGCAGCTATAGAAACCCCCAACAAGAGAAGTTGCTACCAGTATAGTGGAGTATTGTAAGAGACATAACCATGTGTTTTGGGGAGGATTGTGGAAGGCCTTGGATTTTCAGGCTAGAAACAGTCATTGAGTGTTGAGAGATCTGTGGGCTGTTCTGTAGGAACTTGGAAGATAAGAATGTTGAGAGCAGTGTGGACAATTGAGGCCTGGCTTATGAAGTTTCAGAAGGAAGTTTAAAGACTGTATGGGGCCATTTGCTATTTTGAACTAGGTTTTTTTTTTTTTTGTTGTTGTTGTTGTTGTTCTGGTAAGCAGGGGCTAAAGAGTTAGCCAAGTTTATCAAGAGACTAGCATTATTGAAGTGAAACCTTTGCTTTATTGGGACAATTGATGCTGGTTAGCTGGAGCTGAGAAATTATAGGTAACTAAGAAAAGACTAGCATCACTGAGGTGAAATATTATGGTAAATGTTTCATGAGAGTCAGCAAACAGAAGCTGTATTCCAAAGACAACCAAGGTTATACCTCATGCTGGCAACCAAACTTTATAGTCTAAGAGTCATCCAGGTGGTATTGGTTTTGCAGGCATGAAGGGGTCATGGAAAACAGCTGAGGCTTGGCACTCTGAGAGGCCAGGAGAGGCCAATGATGAAGGTAGCAGCAGAAGACACAGGATTGAAGGAGTCGGGCAGAGAAGTTGAAACTTGATATCAAAGAAAGAGCCTAGGAGGAGTTATTTATGAATGTGCAGCTCATTTGAGCATAAGAACCTAGAATTTTGGAGATGCCATGGGATGACCAACAAGAATAGCAGCAGTGGAGTGGAGCCACCCAGAACCTATAAGCCAATCTGTGTGTTCTGCAAAGAGCAAAGTTGGAGAAGCTTCCCCAGCACTTTGCAGGAGGCCAGAAGATTATGAATGGATTCCAGACATTGGACATAGCATTATTTACTGTTGAACATTTGGCTTTGCTTTTTTGATTTGATTGTGACTTTGTCCTGATTCTTCCCTCTTAAGAAAGAAAATATTTCCTCTGTTGAGAATTCTCTGTTTAGTTCTATAGCCCATTTCTTAACTGGACTGTTGGGCATTTTGATATCTAATTTCTTGAGTTCTTTATATATTCTGGATATCAGTCTTCTGTCAGATGTAGGGTTGGTGAAGACCTTTTCCCATTCTGTAGGCTGTTGCTTTGCCTTGTTGACTGTATCCTTTGCTCTAAAAAACGCTTCTCAGTTTCAAGAGGTCCCATTGATTGATTGTTTGTCTCAGTGTCTATGCTACTGGTTGTTATATTTAGGAAGTGATCTCCTATGCCAATGAGTTCAAGACTACTTCCTACTTTCTCTTCTATCAGGTTCAGAGTAGCTGGATTTATGTTGAGGTGTTTGATCTACTTGGACTTAAGTTTTATGCACGGTGATAGATATGGATCTATTTGCAGCCTTCTACACGTTGGTATCCAGTTATGCCAGCACCATTTGTTGAAGATGCTTCAATTCAATTCAATTGGTCCACATGTCAGTTTTTATGCCAGTACCATGCTGTTTTTATTATTGTAGCTCTATAGTAGAGTTTGAGGTCAGGGATCGTGATGCCTCCAGAGGTTGTTTTATTGTACAGGATTCTTTTGGCTATAAACTCAAATGGCTGAGAGACATTTAAGGAATTGCTCAACATCCCTAATCATCAGGGAAATGCAAATCAAAACGACTCTGAGCTACCACCTTACACCTGTCAGAATGGCTAAGATCAAAAACACTGAAGACAGCTTATGCTGGAGAGGATGTGGAGCTAGGGGAACTCTCCTCCACTGCTGGTGGGAATGCAAGCTTGTACAACCACTTTGGAAATCAATATGGTGCTTTCTTAGAAAACTGGGAATCAATCTCCCCCAAGATCCAGCTATGCCACTCCTTGGCATATACCCAAGAAATGCTCAATCATACCACAAGAGCACTTGCTCATCTATGTTCATATCAGCATTGCTTGTAATAGCCAGAACCTGGAAACAACCTAGATGCCCTTCAACTGAAGAATGGATAAATAAAATGTGGTACATATACACAATGGAATACTACTCAGCAGAGAAAAACAATGACATCATGAGGTCCCATTCTTCCTTGCATCTCTCAGCAGATGGCCTAGTCTTCTGGCTCTGAATTTTATTTTATTTTTGCTCCTCTTCCACAATGTTCCCTAGGCCTTACATATGGGGATTGTGTTGTAAATATACTAATTGAAGATGTATACTCCATGCTCTGTGGATTTCTGCAATTTGATCAGTGTTGTGGAATACTACTTCAACTGTGTAAAGATGCATTACATTTGTCTATGATCCATTGGTTTAACAATGTAAAGATGTGTTTTTAATTATGTTAAGATGTGTTGCATTTGTTTCACCTTGCCTACCTAAGGCATCTGATTTGTCTAATTAAGAACTGAGAAGCCAATAGCTAGACAGGAGAAGGGGATTTATTCAATTACTTTTTAAGTTCCTGTACCATATTCACATAGGCTTTTAAAAAGTTTTTGTCTTGTGTTTCAGCTGTGTTACCATATTAAGGTCCTGCTGCGGTAGGGTTGCTGGGCTGCAGTGGAGACAAGTTATCCTGATGTTATAGATTGTGTTTTTACTCTGGTGTCTAGGCATCTGTGTTGGGAAGATTGTAATTCTAGGTGCTGATATTTGGTCTTTGTTGGGTGGTTTGTTTTTCTTTGTTTTTTTTTCTTTGTTTTTAGGAGAGTGTGATAGCTGTTTGTTGCCTGTTAGGAAATTTTTCTAGGATCCTGATAGGTAAGACCACTGGAGTTTCAATGTAAAATGTGTTTCTGAGTGTTGGAAATTTACATTTAGGAATCAGGATGGGCTGGGGGGAGGGAATGAGGTTTCAAAGGATGGAGAAAAGTAAGGTATTCAGTCAGGATCTGCTTAGTTAGTCCTCTAGCAATGGTGCCAGAGTATGAGGAGAGCCCACAGTAGAAGGTCTGCTATAGATCTGTGGATGATTGGATTGAAGGATTGTACTTGTAGGATCAGAAGATGTGGAGAACTATAGTTAGCCTATCTCTTTCCCTGGCCAGAATACTGGTCTCTTCTTAGTCATCACTAATTTCTCAGTTCCACCTAGGCAGAGTCACTTTCCCCCATAAAGCCAAACTTCAAATTTAGTGGTATCAGTATCTTTTTAATAACAACTATTTGTTCACATAAGTAGCCAGGGTAGAATCTTTGATTCCTGCTGGAACTTTACTAACCTGGCCTCCAATATCTCCATTGTTTTCAGCATTATCATCCAAGTTCCCCTAGAAAAGGCCACTGAACTTTGAGTACTCATTGGCTTTTCCAACCCTTAGTTCCAAAGTTTTTCAGAAATCCTTCCCAAAACACATGATTATGTCTGTCACAGCAATACCTTCCTCCTTTTTTCAATTGCTATATTAGCTAGGGTTTCTACCACTGTGATCAAACACTATGATCAAAAGAAATTATTTGAGGAAAGGGTGTATTTCAGCTTACAGTTTCACAGCATAGCCCATCATTGAGGAAAGTCAGAGCCTGAACTCAAACAGGGCAGGAGCCTGAAGTCAGTAGCTGATGCTGATCCATGTAGGAGTGCTTATCACTGGCTTGCTCATCATGGCTTACTCACCCTGCTTTTTTATAGCACCCAGAACCACTACAACAGGGGTGGCACCACCCACAGTGAGCTGCCTACACATACATACATATTAATCACCAATAAAGTAAACATACTAGAGTCTTGGCCACAGAGAAATCTGCTGGCAGCATTTTCTCAACTGAAGTTATCTCTTCCCAAATATCTCTAGATTTCTGGAGCTGACATAAAACAAGCCAGCACAAATACATACTATTAGAAGAAAATACTATTAAAAATTATACTCCACTAAGATAGAAAACTTAAATGGATGAATTTGTTGATTAATCCAACTATGACAATTCAGCCAAGAAGAGACCAACAACCTAAAGAGAGCCATAACAAAAGAGATTTAAACAGTTATAAAAAGCCTCAGACTGCCGGGCGGTGGTGGCGCACGCCTTTAATCCCAGCACTCAGGAGGCAGAGCCAGGCGGATCTCTGTGAGTTCGAGGCCAGCCTGGGCTACCAAGTGAGCTCCAGGAAAGGCGCAAAATTACACAGAGAAACCCTGTCTCGAAAAAACCAAAAAAAAAAAAAAAAGCCTCAGACTAAAAAATGTCCTGGCCAATATGGATTCACAGCAGAATTCACTTTAAAAAAAATTTATAACAAATCTTATTTTTAAACTTTTCAAAAAAAATAGACACATAATGATCATTTCCAAACTCTTTTGATGAACCAGGATGACTCTAATTCACAAACCAGGTAAAGGCACAATGACAAAAAGAAAACTACACACTGATACTCCCTGATGAACATAGGTGGAAAAACCCTAAATAAAATATTAGGAAACTGAATACAAGTACATATCAGAAAGATGGCTTTAATATTGTAAAGCAGGTTTGGATCAACAAATCTAAGTTAAAAAATATAATAAATCATATAAATGCACTTAAAGACAAAACTCATATGAATATCACAATAGACACAGAAAAAAACTTTTGACAAAATCCAATATTCTTTTATAATGAAAGTTCAGAGAGAGTGTAGTTGAAGGGAACACACAACAATATAATAAAGGCTGTATATGACAAAGCCACATACAACATTGCCCTAAATGGAGAACAAGTTGAAGCAGCATCAATAAATCAGAAATGAGATAGGTCTATCTACTATCTCAACTCTATTTCAAAATAGTATGGAAGCACTAGCCAGATAAGGCAAGTGAAACTAAAAGGATACAAATAAGAAAGTAAGTCAAATTCTCTCTATTTTTAGATAATATAATATTACAAATAAGAGAGCTGAAAATTTCCACCAGAAAACTTCTACGAACAATTGAAAATCTAAACAATGTGACAAGGCACAAAATCATTTTACAAAAATAAGCATCCATTGAGACACTAAGAAAAACTCCCTAACAAAGTGATAGCCTTTATTGTCTTTGTATACTGATTTAAAAAAATCAAGAAAAATGTCAAAGAAAAATTTCCAATCATAACAACTTCAAAAATAAATATTTGCAAAATAAAGCTAAACAAGAAAGTTAAATATCTCTTTGATTACATTTTTAAAATATTGAAGGAACTGAAGAAGACATGAACATGGATACTCAGAATATTGTGATTATAGCTTTATTACAAAAATAATCTCATTTAATGCAATTCCCTTCAAAATTCCACTAAAATTCTTCACAGATCTAGAAAAATAAGTCATAGAATTCATATGGAAACACAAAACACCCTATCTAAAGCAATCCTTAACAGAAATATTGATGCTATAAATAACACATAGTTAATTTCCAATTATATTATAGAACCCAAAAATTACATTATAGATCCTCAAAACATGGTACTGGCATAAAATAGCCTTGTTCACAAATGGAAGAGAAAAGAGGACCCAATACCAGCAACCTAATTTTCTATGAGTCCTATGCCTGAAATGTATGGTGTCTTGAACAACAGAGTCTTTCTTTTTCTGGAAGGCGTCAAGGGCCATGGCAATAGCCTATATTTTGGAAATCTCTTGGACTCCCCTGGTGAACAAATTAAAAGGGAATTGCCTAAGCCTACAATTTTGTTTTTTTTTTAGTATATGGTTTATCTTTAGGAGCATTGTCCCCAAGTGGTAGAACTAAAAATATATACTATGTATGTTTAAACATAGAATAATAGTTTTCTATGGCTTTTTCAAACATTCTTATTTGAACCTGCTTCTTTTCTCACCTTCTGTCTTATCATCACTCTCCCATCTCCAGATAAGTCTCTATCATCTGTTTTTCCAATTTCCCCATTAGAACAACTATTTTCATCTCTATGGCTCAGGTCTCCACCACACACCATGGTCCCTTTTTACTTTCTTGATATCTACGATTACTCCATGTTATACAGTCACATCTGCAGGACCAAGGAACCACAAATAGGAGAGACCATGAGAGTTTTTTTTAAATAGATTTGGGTTACCTCACTCATATACTATTTTCTTGTTTCATCCACTTACTTGAAAATTTTGTGGTTTCATTTTCTTTACAGCTAAATAGTTTTCCATAATGTATATGTACTACATTTTATTATCTATTCATTAGTTGAAGGACATTTTGGTTGTTTCCATTTTCTAGCTGTTGTTAATAGAACAGCAACGAACATCACCAAATAAATATCTGCAGAGTAGGATATAGAGGTCTTTGGGCACATTTAAAGCAATGCTATATCTGGGTCAAAATCCCATGCTAATGGATCAGTAGGATTAACATAGTAAAAATGGATATCCTATGAAAAGCAATTCCCATCAAAATCCCAACACAATTCTTCATAGATCTTGACAGGACAATTCTCAGCTTCATATGGAAAAACAAAAACCCCTGGATTACTAAAACAATCCTGAACAATAAAAGAATCACCAGAAGTATCACCATTCTGGATTTCAAGTTGTACTATGAAACACTTATAATAAAAACAGCACACTATTGGCACAAAAACAGATACATCGATATAATCAAATATAAGACCCAAATATAAATCTACATACCTGTGGAAATCTGATTTTTAATAAGAGGCCAGATATAACACACTGGAAAAGGATACCATCCTCAAAAAATGGTGCTGATCATACTGGATAGTTTCGTGTACAAAGATGTGAATGGATTTGTATTTGTCACCCTGAATGAAACAACTCCAAAAGGAACAAAGGCTTCAACATAAAACCAGATTCATTGAACTTAATAGAAGAGAAAGTGGGGAATACCCTTGAATTTTTTGGCACAGGGTAATACTGTCTGATCAGAACACCGTTAGCACAGGCACTAAGATTAATAATTAATAAAAGGGACCTTGTGAAATTCAGAAGTTTCTGCATGGCAAATGACACTGCCATTTGGACAAAGTGGTATCCTAAAGAATGGAAAAAGTCGCCGGGTGGTGGTGGTGGTGGTGGTGGTGGCGGCGGCGGCGGCGGCGG